ACTTGAACGGAGTCGCGGACAAAAACTAGTGTCACAAACGGTCGTATTTAACTACAATTATACAATAAAATGGTCAGGTGCAAACGCTCCATTTTCTGATGTACGAAATTTCTGTAAAGCAATCAGATAATCATATAGCGAAACCTTTGTGGTCATCTGGAGACCGCACAGCATCACCGCAAGGGTCTTGGGCACGGGTACCACTTTGAGCTAACCCTAGTATGTGTTATACTATTTATATTATTTACTTATTACCCGCTGAACAGTGACTGTTTTATGTCTACGCTCCCTACATATGTGTAATTATTTGATGTGTTATTTTTATTACTCAAAATGTTTTATTATATTACATGTTAAATCTTGTAACGCATGTTTTTGAGAGTAATAATTATTAATAATAGTGATGTCGTTTTGAGGTCAATTATATACAGAGTAAATCGCATTTTGGTCCTCACGATACAGACTATGCCTAGTGTGAGGATCATTGGTTAATTTTATATTTTTGATGCCATGTGCGTAATCTCTGAATTTGTTAAATATGTAAATAGTATTCTATGTCATGATTTATGCTTATGTAGTAAATAAAGAAATTATTATTATTATTACTGTGGACATCGATACTGAAAGGTCAAAGGTCAGTAGCCAACTTAAATAAACGAGGTAGTTGTCTATTGATCCAAATATATCCGTGATTGAATGTGGATCAGTTAAATATTTATAAGTTGTGAATCGTGCTTGAGTAGTTTTTGAATAGGACCACAATTTGTTAATAAATTTGGATATTTTCGAGTTTTTATAAGGGACTAATTTTCGTATGTTCGATAAAGGTCTCTAGCTTCTTCTACTTCTCTCCTGTATCCAAGACTAACTTCTGGTGTTGGGACGTATAGGTGGGACGTAGGTGTTTTTCCTTCCTAAGCTGATAGCCTTGAGAGGCTATTTCAGCTTCACCCTAACATGTAGGTGAGCTCACGGGGCTCAAACCGGAAGGGTTGCTAACACTGGCCCTAGCAAGAGCAGCGCTTCGCAGAATCTACCACCGGATCGGAAACACTGAGAAGATCCGGCGAGAAACTCAGTGGGCGAATTTCAGCATACCACTGTTGGACCAGAAACATTTCAAATGTCTCCAACTTCCAGCTTAAAGTGTGGTGTTCCTATCTCGTCGGCCGTGCTATAATGTCTCGGCCTAGACAGTCTGCCGTCAGGGGAACACTAACCACTGAACATATCATAAAACATGATATACATATTTAGTGTGTGTGTTACCGCCATTTGACCCAATTCTGGGCACAAACAATTTATGCCTCAAAAATGACAACTTCTGATCTTAACGCTATGTTCTGTAAGTGAAATTGAATTGATTAATTGGACAAAAAAAAATAAAGCGTGGTAAACATAACTAATAAATTAATGAAGCCTAATAAATAATGTTCTGATGTATTTCGTTGTAAATAGGTACCCGTATCCTTGAGCTGATCATACTATCCCTGTCAGATGTCCGTGGTAATATGCGCAGCCGTTTCATGTAAATAAGTAGGGCCTAATTCCTGACTTTGAAGGTGTTAAGCTACGACAGGAGTATAGTCAGAACATTCGCTTTATACCTTTGTTAGCACAATCTTTATATTAATACAAAAGCAAAAACTTTGTACCCCTTTTTACGAAAATTGGGCGGACGGAGCAGTATGAAATTTCCCGCACTTATAGAGAATATAGGGAAGAAGTGCAGAATGTTAAATTTTTTTTTTTAATTATGCATATAAAATACAATAAATCAATTAAAAAAAACATTACACACACTACCATGTATTTGACACACGCACGCATGCATACTATTTGTTTATTGTCAAAATTTTCTTATTGCTTATGGTCTGTGGTCAAATTGAGAATACATTAAATATTGTTTGTCTTTATTAATATTTGCCTAAAGTAGTCTAGTAGTCTTGGCGAAATATGTGATTATAGAATTTGACAATAGAAACATGATAGTGTACAAACTTATAATTTCTATTAAATGAGTCGTCTATTATCAAAGGTGGCAATCTGTGCATTTGGACAAAATTTTTTTATTGATGTGTCAATACAGATTTATTTGAATATAATCGTCTCCTTCAAAGAATACGGTTCAAAACCTGCATTAAATAAAGGTTAATAGTTAACCTGTTATTTATCTAAGATGTCGTTCCGAAGAGTTTTGTGACTGCCAATGGAATACAAAGTCAATAATTCGTTTTTCTGATTTACCAATCATTGTCCAAAAGTCAGATTGCCGGCTTTGATAATAGTCGACTCAAATAAAGTCGAATTTCGACTACCTACCTTGGGACCACTTATATTCAGAGATTTATGAATAACGCCAAAGTCGTCCTTGATCACGTAGATTGTGGATTTCTTTAATCTTGTCTAAGGCACGTGAATAGTTACTTCATTTTCAAAGTTCTACTTTCAAAATAATTACTTCATTTAATAACTTATTTTATTTCACACTTTTCGTTATTTGATTCACATGCTGACAATAGAACCTTTTTTCTCGGTTGCTGTTTTAATGTAGGAATTTTGATGCTCGTTATCGCAAAAGATCACAGTAAAAAAAATGCATCCTTCGCATTTTAAATTCGTTTTAGTCTATTTACGTCGACAGGTTCTTTTTTAAATTAATTTCACGGGACCCACCTTATGTAAAAGGTAGTGTTTCGATAAAAACTATATCAGTTAATCGAATTCGCTAAAGTGAAGCTTGTTTAATCAATATAATTGACGATTATCGAGATTGAATCGTAACTGTGCTTGAAAGTCGTGTGTTGTAAACAAAAGATGCTAGTTGGAGACAAATCTAGTGACACCTCGCTTGTTGAAATCCGTAAAAATTTTAGGCTACAGAGTTTGATATCAATTAGACCGCCAAACTTAGAAAATCAATATTATATTGCATTTCTATTTCATTATGCGAATTATGAAGCTGCCTTTGTAAACTGTCTATTGCTTGTAGACGCCCTCACGGTCTAATGTTAAGAGGGTACCAAAGCCAATAGACTTAAAAATTGTAAATATCCACCACCATGCCCACGAGGTTTGAGCACCAGTACAGCAGCAGCGCTCGATACGAAGACACCGGGCGTCATATTGCATAGGCCACGGACGTTTGCGTACATCAAAGACCTCCCGAACGTTATAAGAATAGGCCATCAAATTATTAATGATGTGATTATGATTAAATGGCTTCATGACCCCAACACTATGCTAACACATCCGCTGTTTCTTCACCTGTGACGTCAAAGCCGTGATAATTATAAAGAACTAGCTGTACCCGTCCGCTTCGCTGGACATTTAAATTTAAATTATTATTTCTCACCCCCACAAAGATTCTCATCATTAACGCCCCCGCAACTGGTGTAGCGAGTCCAACACTCATATAAATATTAGCCTATCCATTATGTACATGTATTTTCTACATGGATACCAAGTTTCAAGTCAATCGGATGCATGGTTCAGTAATTATAACGGATCATCCGTAAAAAGATTTATATATTAGTATAGATATAGATTTGTCAAAGAAACAAAATCTATAGGAATAATAATTGTAAAAAATATATAAATGACAATCTTGAGGTCTCATCGTGGTGAAGTATGCATCGTGATGTTTGTAGATCTTGGTTTTTTCCTTTACTGCTGTTATCCAGGGAGGAAATAGAGAGTTTTGGACTAAACGATACCCCTGGTTTCCTCTTCTGTTGGGCAATCCTCCCTTGACAATTAATGTAGTGCCTATCACGTACGCTACACGCGCATCTTGATCTTCGGTGTCATTGCTGGCATTCAATACTCAGGTCACGTAGTCTTGATAGTTTAGTAAGGACGATATAATGACAATGGCTTGTTTTTATTGAGTTCAGATATGGTTGATGAATCGCAGTTGGGATATGCACCAATTACACTCTGATGAAGGTGCTTCGCGTGCGCCTTTGGAGCTAGATTTTGGGTATCGATTACATTATTTGAAGGTGCGGTGGCAATGCGATGACCAGGAAAAGCCCAATAAATCAGCCCAATATTATGATATGTGTCCTTGTCCTAAGTACTGGTTAAAATTCTTTTTCAAACGATATAATTCAATGTATATTCCATTTTGTGCTACTATTAATGATATAAATAAACACAAATATTCAAGCTGATATTTCGTTATTTTACGCAACCATTTTGATGAAATTACTTTCAGAATGAAAATTATTTTCTTTTCTTGTCGTTGATAGAAATTTGATATATACCGAATTATTGGTAATACGACGACATTCAGATACCCAATTGGAAATATATTTCTTGTTTTTTTTCTTGTTCTGCACGAACCTTATACTTGACATTTCCGTGCCTGAAGTGTGCGCGAATCATTAGGGTCTGGTGAGAGAACCAGACATATCGCCTCGACGATCCGTCGCCAGTAGGCGGGGTCTACCAGGCGTTGATACCACGCCTCGAGCAGGACCCGCCGAGATTGAAGCCTCCACGCTCGATCATCCGCTGGGACGCAACTCCCCCTAAAGTGGAGATCGAGAAGTCGCATAGCCTCCTGGTCCAAGTTAGGCGTCTCGACGAGGACGCACGAGACCTTGAATATGATGCTGCGGTACCCGCGAACCGCCCCGACCGCGATCGCACGCACTAATAAAACCCGTCCCTAAAAGCGATTAACTTAACCGAAAAAACAACGATCGATATAAAGACGGTTCCCATTCGGGCTGTAGCTTCGGTTACACATTCACAATCGTTGATGAGACTATCTCATTGTGTGTTTCGGGTTAATTAAGAACATCCTTTTATTAAGCGGGTAAGTATACTATGAGTTAGTGGGGCTTGATCACGATTTTAATCTTAGCATGTGTATCCTGATGAAAAGGCCTTGGTTACAAGAAGACCACAGAATAGTTATAAAGTAGATAGCCGCGAAACTTTATAACAAACGGCTAAAAATAAAGTCGCAACTAAGGATTATGTCTTTCCAGATCTTCGAACCATGCTGCAGCAGATCAGCCATGGACGTAGAGCAGTCGGTGGTGAGCGTCTACACAACGCAGCCTTCAGCGCCAGGAGCGCCTCTTGACGTCTACCATCAGCTGGCCAACAACATCGCTGAGAGGATCACTTCTCCGATATACAGGTAGATATAGTGTATGTTCATATGTTATAGGAATATGTTAGAGGAAGTTTGAAAGTGGCACCTGTGACAGAGAAGTTGAGTAGTGCACGTTTGAGATGGTATGGACATGTGATGAGACGAAATAAAAATAAGGTTGGTAAGAGAGTGTTAACTATGAATGTGGAAGGTTATAGAGGAAGAGGTAGACCTAAGAAGAAATAGATGGATGACGTGAAAGACGATATGTGTAAGAGGGGAGTGAGCGAAGAAATAGTATATGATAGAGGAGTAGGGAAGGAGAAAACATGTTGCGCTGACCCCATGTGATTGGGAGAAGGACAGGAGAATGATATAATAGTATATGTTTATAGTTCTAAGTAGGTTTGGAATTTAACACTAAATGATATAATTGGCTGTTTAGTGGTGGCCTAGAATAGCATCCCTCACCTCTTCCAGTTAGTGTCGTAAAAAGCTACTAAATAATTCAGCGGGGAATGGACAGCAACGTTTTCTGAGTATTATTTCAGTGTACTGTAATAGCTAGCCGGTATTTTCTGATGGAGGGCAATATTATGAGTCCGCAAGAGTAATTACCTCCATCATACATACATATTTCTACCGCAAAGCAAGCTTGCATTTTAATTTGAATGGTAAGTTAACCATTAGGAAATCATCACACAGATTTCGACCTCATGTCTGAAGGTAGGTTGTGATATTTATCGACTTCTGTAACCAATTGATTGTAACCGATTCGCGGATAGTGCTCGGTAGTTGGCAGTGGCTTGGCTGTGGCCCTGGCATTGCTGATGTCCATAAATCCAATTTAGATAATCCAAAATAAAACAGGTCCAAGGCAATATGAAAAACACCAGATGGGCCATAGCGTTGTGGGCGGTAGTGGCGGAAATTATATTAGTGCTTTGACTCCTATTTCGGTTTATCCAAGTTTTCGATTGACAGAAGTCGATTAATACAAGACCGCAGAGTTCGCTCTAAGCATTATGTTACACGATCAGCCCTCTGACATCAGAGACACTAGAATGAGCAAGATTTATGTTTATTTTATCCCCATGACACCACATGGTTTTTCCCTTTTTTTTATTTGGCAATTTAGAGGATTAAGTGACAAGCAAACAGGGCTTTTTAGTACGATTTGATTACCATACTGTTTAAGCCGTGAAATTTTCCCCCGAGCAATTAAGTGTTATACAAGTTTTCTCTGCTCTAACCTATCTAATCTCCTTTCCAGGTTTCTCGGCATCGGCAACCGCACCCAAGAGAAGACAACCCAAAAACCCTGGGACAACATCGAAATACTAGACGAACCAATGAAATCTGTTCTGAAACCGCTTGACAACAGCATCACGACTGAGAGAGATGTAGAAGAATTATCAGCTGATGCTTTAAAGAAAATCGACAGGAAACCAGAGAAGATATCGCTCCTGCCGACCTACTTACCGGTTCCGGAAAAGCTCAATGATACGGACATCGACGAGCTGGACGATGATGATTTATTCCAGTTTGAGGACGACGATGAAGTCTCCAAACCAAGAGAGGGCCCTTTCATATACATACTAGAGTTGGCAGGCAGCATTATACAATTACTTTGGGGTGGCTTCTTGAGCTTGTTCAGGCCATCAACTAAGTCTAGTTAGGTTATTAAGTTTGGACCGTTGCGTGTGCAGTATTAACTTTGTTTTTTGAGTAGCGTAAACTAGCAGACGTGTTCACGGGCCATCGGGTGATAAATGGTTACCGTCTGAACACAACGAGACACTAGGACATAGTATCGATTGAATTGCATTTGTGGTCCAAACTGAAACCATCCAGACGGTATCCCGGACGATGTGTCTGGACGTCAGTTAAAATTGTGGTGCTGATAAACACGTATAACCGTCTGCAAATATAGTATAGCAAAGTAAATTATAAAGATTTTTATGGGTGCTAGTTCAAGGTAGCTGTTTTTATATTCAGTAGTGCCACGGGAGCTAGTCATTACTCCACATCAGGCGGGTGCCGGTCCGCTTCCCCCATCCATACAAGAAAGTTCATAGTCATTTACTAGTGGTAGGATCTCTCGTGACTCCGCACGGGTAGGTACCACCACCCTGCCTATTTCTGCCGTGAAGCAGTAATGCGTTTCGGTTTGAAGGGTGGGGCAGCCGTTGTAACTATACTTGAGACCTTAAAACTTATATCTCAACGTGGGTGGCGCATTTAGCTTGTAGATGTCTATGAGCTCCAGTAACCACTTAACACCAGGTGAGCTGTGAGCTCGTCCACACATCTAAGCAATAAAAAAAGGCATATTTTCAGTTTCAATGACATCTATGTTGATTAATGAATGTAAAAATAAATTCAATTGCAAGAGCAAAGAGATTTAGAATCGAAAAGCCAAACTAATTTTATTTTTCGTTATTGCTTAGATGGGTAGATCATCGTCGAAGTGTCAATTTCATGGTATAGCGACAGGGCTATTTTCTCTTCTTTTTTTATTACCCTTGTAGGCAGATGAGCATACGGCCCATCTGATAGTGAGTGGTTATAGTCACCCATGGACTTCAGTAATGCCAGTGGCAGAGCCAAGCCGCTGCCTACCATTTAATACTCTCCATAAGCCTCGTTTGAAGAAGGACATGTCCTAGCGCTCGGGAAATACCCTGGAGGGGAGCTCATTTCAAAACCGGATGGTACGTGGCAAAAATATGGTGGAAGGTATAATTGCTTCGCCGCAGAAGTAAGCGGGATCATGTGACTTAGCTGGTCAGACTCACAATGCCCCCTACCACAAGTAACTCACAGACTCTGCAGAACACGCAAATATTTTTAATAAAGTACCTACTTATATGATACTAAGTCTAAGTCCGTCCGTCATAATAAAACTGACGAATAACTAGAATAAGTTGTATTCAAAATAAAAATAAATATAATAATTTTATTGTGAACTACACTTTTTGAAAATACGAGTATTATATATAAATCACTACATAGTATAAAACAAAGTCGCTTTCTCTGTCCCTATATCCCTATGTATGCTTAAATCTTTAAAACTACGCAACGGATTTTGATGCGGTTTTTTAGAGCAGATTAGAGCGTCCATTCGAACGTCCATGTAAACCAACCACTTTATTACACTCACACGCACTTACACACATCGACACAACACGTCATCATCACATTCAAACTTATTCTGCAAGTTATCATTCGACAAAATTCATCTACCTATTTAACAGCCTTACCTTTACCTTAGTTGGACTACCTGTGTTCGTTAATTATGTTAACATTTTTTGGAAACATAATGTGTTTCTTTAATTGGCTCATGTTTGAGAAAACATCCTCTGTACCTTGTGTCTAGTTAAATGCTGTTGAAACATTGTTGATTAAATTAATAAATTAATAAATTAAATAGTGGAGAAATCAATAATAAATTACAGTTTCCGAAGCGAAGCGAGGGCGGGTCGTTAGTAGCTCATAAAGCTTTGATAACTCACTATGAATAAACCATGAGTTTATCGGAGAAGCATTTGGAGATGAACCAATATTAACTGTTTAGATAGTTGTTTGACGAAAACTCATTGAAACAACAAGTCAATAAATACAGCAAACTCAATAACTTTGAATCCGTTTGTGCTAAAGTAAATTGTCGAAAACGGATTCAGAAAGGGTAGCATCTCGCACCCTGTACAAATATGTGATAGTAAAAGAAAATGTGAGGAAAAAACGAAGAAATTGTGCCATGAAAAGTATCAAACACGTTTAAAATATGTAGATAAAAATGATGTAATATTAAAGTTAATATTAATAAATATGAAAGATAGTATTTTTTTATTGTTAACCCACCACTGAGTTGAGTTTTGTTTCTAAGGAGTCTCTGAGAATTTTCGATAAAGGACCATATTTATAGAATATCTTTGGACAAGAATTCAAGTAAGTCAAAGATTTTGGTACATCCCAACTGAGCACCTTATCTGTAAGTTAAGTTATTTATTAACAAATTGCTCCCTGGATGAGAGACGTGATAACTCATGAATATGTTTGTCGATAAATACAATCCTGCACTCTCCGTTGCTGGGTGGATGAACCTGGTGGTGCTGGGTCATACGAGTATACAGAGATTACAATAACACTTATCGTAGAACATAACATCGACCTGTGGGGGTCGGGACAGCGCCGCATACTGTCGTCACTTTAGTTTATTTTTTTCCCTACCTAAGCTGATGGTCTAGAGAGACCATATTAGCGTCACCGGGCTAGTAGGTGAGCTCACGAGGCTCAAGCCTGATGATGTTGCTGACACGAACCCTAGCAAAAGCCGTGCTTCGCAGAATCTACCACCGGATCGGAAACGCGACCCACTGAGAAGATCCGGTGAGAAACTCAGTGGGCTGTGTCTGTGGGAACACTTTAGCGCGCTGACACCAGGAGGATGGGACGACGCGTCAGCTGCGGTCCGCGTTGTCGTCGACTATAACCTTGTCAACTCGTCGGACATACTTGGGGTGGCGCCGCGAGTCTAGTTGTAGTGTTGACTGTGGGAGCTCCCCTAATCTGACAGGGTTCTGACCCCTGCCGGAGATTGGACGTCGGGTCAGAGAGTGCAAGTGCGGTAAAGCTCTATAATTATGCTTGGACCCGCGGTCTGCTCCCAACGTCTGCAGACTGTCAAGTCCCAAATACGCCCTGTACCCATTGGGCGCGGGCGGAAGTGTGGCCCCCTGCATGAAAAGAACTTAATAGATTGGTAAAATTGTATGTCGCGCTAACACGTTCAAGTTCCGAACAACAATAGAGTCTACCGAAAAACGACACATGGTCATTGAAAAACTTCTCATTTATTATTTTTTATATACATTTGCCATTATTGCTAACAAATATTTACCTTACGTACATATGTTCTTGAGCTCACACGACGAAGGAAAAACATCGTTTCTGAAATAACACGTAGTGTGTTGTGTTGTGTTGCGCAATTACTGTTGATTCAAAGTAATAGTTGCTTAGACAAACTCTGCTCGGTCACTAGGTACAAAACGCGCATTTAAGTTCTACACGTACTCTATGGCTTTCTTGTACGATAATCGACACTGATGATTGTTGTCATTATATATATATTTATTGCTTAGATGGTTGGACGAGCTCACAGCCCACCTGGTGCTAAGTGGTTACTGGAGCCCATAGACATCTACAACGTAAATGCGCCACCCACCTTGAGATACAAGTTCTAAGTTCTCAGTATAGTTACAACGGCTACCCCACCCTTCAAACCGAAACGCATGACTGCTTCACGGTAGAAATAGGCAGGGTGGTGGCACCTACCTGTGCGGACTCACAAGAGGTCCTACCACCAGTATTATTAAAACTAGTGATCTCCAGTAGTCGAAATTCGACTATAACTAATAATAATTTCAATTAATTGACTTCTTCTGAATTCAAACTTATAATTTCAATTAATTGAAATTATAATATATATAATATATTATATAATATTATTACAGTTCTATTGTCAAAGACTATTTATTATACTACTTCACAGATTTCGCCAAGGCTACACTATAGACAAATATGTAATATTAAAGACAAACAATATTAATCTATTCTCAATTTGAACACAGACTGTAGCAATAAACAAAAGAGTATATGCGTGTGTGTGTCAAATACATGGTAGTGTGTGTAATGTTTTTTTTTATTGATTTAATGTATTTTTTATACATAATTAAGAAAAATATTGGCATTCTGCACTCCCTCTCTATTTTCTCTATAAGTGAGGCAAAATTTCATACTCCTCCGTCCGCGTAATTTTCGTAAAAAGGGATACAAAGTTTTTGCTTTACGTACATAATATATTATAATTTATTTGTACATTTTAGAAATGCAAGGGTCATTAGTTGAGAGGCGCAATATGGTGATTGCCGGATTTTTTATTGCCTTTGTTGGCAGATGAGCATACGTCCCACCTGATAGCTATCGTCACTCATACAGCGTTTTTAGAGATCTTTTTTGCCACGTACCTTCCGGCTTTGGAAGGCACGTGGCAAAAAAGGTGCTTACGGTGTTTCCCGAGCGCTATGACATGTCCTTCCTCAAACGAGGCTTGTGGAGAGTATTAAGCGGTAGGCAGCGGCTTCGTTCTGCCCCTGGCATTGCTGAGGTCCATGGGCGACGGTAACCACTCATCATCAGGTAGGCCGTATGCTCGTCTGCCTCCAAGGGCAATAACAAAATATATAGTAGTAGTCATTATTACTCATGGACGTCAGCAATGCCATAAGTACAGCCACTGCTGATGTCTTTCCAAAAGCCTCGTTTGAAGGAGGATGTGATAGTGTTTGCAGTATTTGTTTCAGCTCACACTTCCACAAAACATGAACCAACTACTAAATATATTAATAAACTATATTCTAACAGATACTATGTATTTCAGAAAACCTTCTTTTATTATAATAATAATATCATAATTCATATTTTCCGACAATATATTCTCTGAAGTGAGAAAATATTAATATTCTAAATTACTATGTAATATTTATTGATTAACTAGCTGATCCGGCAGACTTCGTAGTGCCTCAATCGATAAATAAAAGACCTAAGCTTTTGTATAAAATAAACTTAAAACAAACAAAAGGAATCCGTCCGACGGGAGACGCATCAAAGAAAAAACAAAATGGTTATTTTATACAATTCCAAGCATTTTCATATTTATCTACCTTTTAAACCTTCTCTGGACTTCCACAAATAATTCAAGATTAAATTAGCCAAATCGGTTCAGTCGTTCTCGAGTTTTAGCGAGACTAACGAACAGCAATTAATTTTTATATATGTATATAGTTATTTATAGTATGGTAATAGTAATATTTCGAGTGTCACTGTACGATATTTCATAATCGATTCCAATGTTGGCACGACAATTGTCATATAATTATCAAATTTTATTAATAAATTAAAGGACGATGTGATTTTTTAATATATTTTACTTTTTAACTAAATCAGCGACTTTACATTCTTATGCGATTCCTGTGAAGCAGTTGTAAGTTCCTAATATTTATAAACCAAGGGCTGAAGGTATCTGAGCTCGGAAGACAACTTGGACTCATCCTTTTCCAGCTCCGTTACCATTTCCTTGGCTCTGTTGTTGGCGTACTCGTGACCGCAGTCTCCACGTTCAACCATCTTGGATAGGGCCATTTTCAACTGCGCACGTGCTCCCCCATTTGAAGATTCCACTAACGCCTTCATGACTTCCGGGGAGAAACCCTGAAAAGTAATTGGTACATAGGGATAATTCAAGAAATTTAAACTAATCAAAATCTATACTAATATTATAAAGAGGAAAGATTTGTTTGTTTGTTTATATTGAATAGGCTCCGAAAGTACTGAACCGATTTTAAAAATTATTTCACTGTTTGGAAGCTACACTATTCCCGAGTAACATATGTTTTAAAAAAAATTGGGATTCTTATTAACACTCCAATAATGTAAACCAAGGTGTACAAAAATTACATCTTCATTACATCGCGTGCCCTGCGAAAACTATTGATGATCGAATAAAATAATGTACTACGACTTTGTAGAACACATTATTATTTACAAAAAGTGTCGCGACAGCGTATGTCTAACTATCATAGTTATGCTGCAATAAGTGTTCTTTTATTTTAAAAAATAAAACGATGTCGAGGAAATTTTTGTTAAAGTCCCGAGTGGAGACGGAGCGGGCAGCTAGTGTTTAATATTACAGTTAACGGCAGCGCGTACTGTGAGGCGGCTGATGAAAATTTATAAACTACCCACGCGCAGCCGAAAAAGAAAATTAATCCCAAAAACAAAAAACAATATAATGAACTTGATTAAACTGTACATAAAAGCGATTTTCAAACCTTAATAGCGTTAAAACCCTTCGAAGGGCTAACAATCTTGAAGGAGGAAAATTCCTTATAAAATAATTTATTAAGGGCCCGCCAAAGTGAAGGCATGTTCATGTTTTATTTGGCAATAAATATCGCGGCAATCAAGACAAGAGTTTATCATCGAACTTTATTAAGGATCGTTAAAGGATCCTCGGAAAGAAGTACCTCGTACTTTTGTTAAAGATAATGTGCATGAAATAATTTGATATCATCAGTTAATAGCCTCTGAGGGTCATTGTTGCAAAAACGAGTTGTTGAGGGTTTTTTGGCATAGCTTAATGAATAACCTGAATGAGAAACTAAAATTACGATTCAGAACAATGTAAAATTTTTGCTGGTTCGGTTTTCATAGGAAAACACCTCAACACATCTTACGCACGTATTTTCTTAGAAAAGCTGATACCTGTCGACCGGAATTTGGAAGTCCAATATAATCGCAACACAAGATATGAGTAGGTACGCCGGGCGTCTTGACCTTAAGACCGCGGGATCTTCAACAAATAAATGTTTCTCGCGCCGTTGGCTGCTTCAAATTTATTTTACTACCATTTTCTCGTAAAATATCAAAATCTTTATGGTGTAGTTAAAACTGAAAGGCAGCCAGTTATGCCTCCGCGAAGTTAAGATCTTGGCTTTATGAAACAACCTTTGTTTTATTGATACTTATTGAATCCTAACCGGGTTCAAGAATGAGGTAATGGTCTGGTACGATAGTAAATAATTCAGTGAGATGCTTTGCGATATGTACATTATTTGGTCCGTAGGATCTGACCTACTGCACCAGACGAAAGGAGTTAGGGGATTATCTGTCCAAATACAGTAAATATAAGACGTAAAATCGTTATACTCACACTGAAATCTGAGAGTCTCTGTCTCTTGGCGTCCCTGCTCAGTAGATCATAAAGCAACAACAACCTCAAGTTGGATGATGACAGCTTCGCTCTAGCTGATATGGGCTCCGGGCCTGATCTGAATCCATCCCAAACATCCACCACCCTATCATCACCAGGATTACGGGCGATCTTGATTAGTTCCTTCACATCATCAGTCAAGTATTGCAAGCTATCATCAGTCAGGTCTTCATCAATAACAAAGCCGTCTGACCTACTCGAGATTTTGACTTCGTATGGCGGCAGAAGATTTTGGTGTTGAGGTCTTGGTTCGACCAAAGGCTGAACCTGTTCTTGATGGATGGAAAGCAATGAGGCTTCTGTCTTGGGCTCTTGCGGTCTGATAACAGTGTACTGAGTCGCTTGTTCAAGTGGTAGCAGGATAAATCGTTGCCAGTAATGGTTGAATCGGTCTGTGACGCTTGGTGGTGATGACGGCGCGTAGAATCCTGGTTTGTGGGGACGTGTTGTGAGTTCTGGTCTGAAAGTTTTGAAAATTCATTTTTTTACTCCCTTAAAAAGGTTTGCAACTTCAAATCCGCTATGTATATGTACCCGCACCCTTAAAGCTTAGTAAACATTACGAACCATAAAAATGTTCGTAATGTAACAAAGTATTTACATAAAACCATTTGGAAATGTTTTTATTCCTGCATATTCTAGTAATCTCGAGTGATTATTCTAGATTCACCGATTCAGTAGGTGAGCTCACGGGGCTCAAACCGGGAGTGTTGCTAGCACTGGACCTAGCAAGAGCAGTGCTTCGCAGAATCTACCACCGGATGGGAAACGCGACCCACTGAGAAGATCCGGCGAGAAACTCAGTGGGCTGTGTCTATGGGTTAATTCTCTCGTCGAGCTCTTCGTCGCAGGAGACCGGTTCGACGAGGACGGTGACCGGTGCTTGAGGTACCTCAAGCTAATGGATCGGGAGGATCCGGAAATGTCTGCGTTTGTGTTGAACAAAAACTAAACGAATTAGAGGCGCCTAGTGTTATACATAGCGTAACGAATATATTCAATTAATATCATCATCACCATTTAATATTTGAATTGCCACAACCATACTATTTTTTAGAAGATTGTTAATCTTAAACTAAATCCCACCAAAAACCACTTTGCTATTGCAACCAATAATTCTAATCCTATTCCAATACCATAATTTTAAACCAACAATTGAAAACTTTTTTCAAATGAACTTATTTTTAATATTAACTTCCTTTATTCATTTTTGTAAGTAGGTCGAGCAAGCGGTTCTCAAACATCAATGTTTAAAAGACGAATACAAGTTAGTAAGTTGCCATACGAACTTGACAGAGAGCTTCAAACTTTTCGGAACACGTGTAAAAGTAGTGTTCGATTTTTGCGGATGACGCAAGCATGATCGCATCGGAGCTTTGGTAAGTATCACTTGTTGCTGTCACAGCCGATGCTCTACGGAACAATTGTGAGGTGAAAAACGCGATGAATTGTTCGTAGTTCAGGGATAACTTTTTTTTGATTTCCCTTGTAGGCTGTCGAGCACACCTGATGGTGAGTGGTTACCGTCGCCCATGGACTTCAGCAATACCAGGGGCAGAGCCAAGCCGCTGCCTGCCGCTTAATACTCTCCACAAGCCTCGTTTGAAGAAGGACATGTCATAGCGCTTGAGAAACACCGTGGAGGGGAGCTTATTTCATAGCCGTGGCAAAAAAGATCTCTGGAAACGCACTGTGGATGACCGCAGTGGCTCCAGGTAGTATAGATGAGCTCTACTCCGGTGGCGGGCGGTGCGATGGTAAAAACGAGATGACGGTATCATCACGAACAATTCCTCAGAGCACTCAGTCATAATGTGAAAGTGCCGGTGGTAAAATGCAGACAGCCTATGTGGTACAGACTTCAAGTCTATTCACATATGAATCCTGTACAAATGGTAACTGTATATTTAAACTATCACAAACACAGCACACACACACACACACACACACACAACTTTAGCTTAAATTTCGATTGGCGACATTTTAATTCAAAATGATTTGCATAAAAATTTGTATTTAACTGCTTCCAATTCTACTGTAATTATGAAGTTTTGGAACGAACTTTGTAATAACGTACAAAAAATAACATATTTTTTATCATCCATTGACCACGATTGACACCCGGCGCCATTTACTGGTGGTAGGACCTCTTGTTAGTCCGCGCGGGTGGGTACCACCACCCTGCCTATTTCTGCCGTAAAGCAGTAATGCGTTTCGGTTTGAAGGGTGGGGCAGCCGTTGTAACTATACGTGAGACCTTAGAACTTATATCTCAAGGTGGGTGGCGCATTTACGTTGTGGATTTCTATGGGCTCCAGTAACCACTTAACACCAGATGGGCTGTGAGCTCGTCCACCCAACTAAGGAATAAAAAAAAATCTGGTACCCGGGCCGGCTGGTGTGAAATATGTTACCGAAGCTTCTACCGGGGTTCTACGCCACGCCCCAGTCGCAAGTAATAATAAAGGCGAGGCTCAGACCACCAAAATCGAGCAACTTCCAATTCGTAACCAACATCGGATTGGAACATGGAACGTCCGTGGACTGTTAATGGCTGGCAAAATCACCATGCTGGACAAGGCTGGTCGGACCAAATACGCTCCACTCTCAATACCTCAGTCCACGTTGCTATCCACACAGCCAAGGACAGGCAGGAATGGCGCAGGATAATGCAGGAGAAAGTTATTAGAGGAGGCCACGACCCTCAGCACTGAGGATTATCGACGCAAGGAGGAGACCACGATCTCAGAGCGTTCGTTTGTGCAATACACTAACTCTTATGCAAACAGCCGTGAATGAAGTGTACCACAATAAGTTCGCACGTTACCGAATGACCGTGGGTTGTTGCGAAACCTCCAGTTTTATCTTCTTTACACCTCGAATAGAACTTAAAATTAATATTTTTATAATAAGGAACTTCGTTCCTATCCGGTGTCCCACGACACCACGCATCTTTTTTTTATTGTTTTTGTGGGTCGACGAGCTCACGTCCCACCTGATGTTAAATGCTCATCGGAGCCCATAGACATCGACAACGTAAATGCTGCTACTTACCTTGGGATATGAGTTCTAAGGTCTTAGTTTGTACAGTACAACGGCTGCCCCACCCTTCAAACCGAAACTGTTACTGCTTCATGGCAGAAATAGACGGGGTGGTGGTGGTACCTACCCGTGCAGACTCACAAGACGACCTACCACCAGTAATTACGCAAATAATAATTTTGATTATTCGATTTTTTTATAAATTAGTAAATCAGCGGATATACACAAGCCAACCTCTTGGTTGTAAGATGGCTCCACCACCCGTTAGTTGTGGGTTTAACTCCAGGTTTTGGAGTCGTCACATACGGCTTTGTGGTTGTCGTTGTGGATATGGATGATGGAGTTACATCGTCCACTTCGAAGGCCATCTGGTCCGTGAGGTGAGCTATGATCTGCATGGCCACCGGGAGGTAGGAGTCTGAAAGCTGAACTTGCTGTTTGGCTGTGTGCACCTGAAATAAATTCAAGGGCATATTCAATTTCTTTTTTTTTATTGCTTATATGGGCAGACGAGCTCACAGCCCCCCTGGTGTTCAGTGGTTACTGGAGCCCATAGACATCTACAACATAAATGCGCCACCCACCTTGAGATATAAGTTCTAAGGTCTCAGTATAGTTACAACGGTTGCCCCACCCTTCAAACCGAAAGGCGTTACTGCTTCACGGCAGAAATAGGCAGGGCGGTGGTACCTACCCGCGTGGACTCAAAAGAGGTCCTACCACCAGTAATTACGGCAATTATTAATTTTTGCGGGTTTTGATTTTTATTACACGATGCTATTCCTTCACCGTGGAAGTCAATCGTGAACATTTGTTGAGTACGTATTTCATTAGAAAAATTGGTACCCGCCTGCGGGATTCGAACACCGGTGCATCGCTCAACACGAATGCACCGGACGTCTTATCCCTTAGGCCACGACGACTTCATATGTTATGTGTGTCTTCATATTGTTAATCTACCCTTCAAGAGTTTCGTAATGCGACATTAATTTAATTCCACATTACCAGAATATCAACTCCAATGATAATGACGCACAGTCAATATTAAATCCGTAGCGAAGAATTTATTTCATTAGCTGTAATTCTCGTTCCGACTTGGCCTCAAGCGCCCTTAATTACTCTTTGCATTAGGATTAATTTGATTTCCCTAATGACATAAATTTTAAGTACACGACCTAAGACGTAGTTCAGAAAACGTAGTAGTTAATGAGATATTATATTACAGAGTGCCGTATGAACTGGGGACTGTAAGTGGCCTAAGCGATTTTTAAACCCAGATTTTTAATTTATTTCTTTGATGGGTAGACGAGATTACAGCCCACCTGATGTTTAGTGGTTACTGGAGCCCATAGACATCTACAACGTAAATGCCGCCACCAACCTTGAGAGACTCTTTGATGGCTGAGGGCTCAGTCACATTTAAGTCATCATCATCATCATCAACAGCCCACAGTTGTCCACTGCAGGACATAGGCCTCGCCTAACTCACACCACTGAGCCCGCATAAAATCCGGAATTTAAGTAACAATAGTCTATTTAAACTAAGTAACAATAGCCTACTCCTGCCATCTATACTGGCATCGAGATTCATAACTATAACAGTAATTGGTGAGTGTCTAAAAGCTCATGGAGGGTAACATCTTAGGGTGCCTTCGTAAATCTTTCATTTTAAATAATAACTGAATTAAGAAAAACTGTCAATGGCCGTAGATTTAACAACTGCCTTCAATCCGGAATACTGATTTACAAAAAATGTGTATACAAAACCACAATTATCTATATATTAATACGTGAAGCAAAAATGTTGTACCCTTTTTTACGAAAATTTTCCGAACGGAGGAATATGAAATTTCCCACACACATATTATAGAAAATATAGAGGGGTGCAGAACGCTATTTTTTTATTTATGCATAAAAAGTACATTAAATCAATAAAAAAACATTACACAGCTATCGTGTTTTTGACACACATACACACGCCAATATTAAATTATACTCTTGTGTTTATTGTTAAAATCTGTGGTCAAATTGAAAATAGATTAATAATGTTTGTCTCTAATATTATTTGTCTATAGTGGAATCTTGGCGAAATCTGTGATTATAGAAGTCTTTTTCTTTCTTTGACAATAGTACCATAATAATGTCCAAACTTATAATTAAAATTAAATAATTATAACTAGTCGAATTTTGACTACTGGGCGCTCACTAGTCTATATTAACACGCCTAGCTTAGCGAATGAGTATCGCTAACTATTATCTTTTAGAGCTTCAGGACATGAGATACCCATCTGCGTATGGGTTAGTCAGACACTCGAAAGTGACCATCACAAATTTGATGCGTTGAAACAATAATTAGCAAAGCAGTAAGAGTTAATGAATATTCATAACTTGGTCAATAGCCGTTAGAAAGTATACTACACACACAAAACACTTTGACCGGTGTAAATCATTTTTCGTTTGGAAATCTGTGATAATTTTTCATCCTCAATAATTGGAAGTTCTTATTTTTTTATTGATTGGATTGGTGGACGAGCTCACAGCCCATCTGGTGTTAAATGGTGGCTAGAGCCCATAGTTACAACGGCTGCCTCATCCTTCAAACCGAAACGCATTACTGCTTCACGGCAGAAATAGGCAGGGTGGTGGTGGTACCTACCCGTGCGGACTCACAAGACGTCCTACCACCAGTAAATTCTTAATGTTAGTAATTCCCTACAGCCTTCTATACCAAGTAAATTACTGCGCTACGCTTATTAACTTACCGAAGTTGCTGCGTTAATTATCAGGAATATTAGTGGCACCATCATGTTGATCTGAAATAGAAACGGTCAATTAGTATTGAGGTTATAAGATCTAACATAACCATGAGTACGTGAAGTTATTAACTGAAAAAGAGGGTGCAAGATAATTCAAAATCTGGCTCTGGTCCAGTGAGGTATTCTGGGACATCTCAGGATGGCGCGGCGATGTGGTGTTGACCGCGGGCAACCTCTTACTGTGTCCAGAATCTGGTCACAACACATATTTATAAACTTTCTTTAGCCAAATGCACAGTGCTATTTCATTGTGAAAGCATGTCGGGAACCCTCGTTAAGTCCGTATTTTTTAGAAAAATTGGCACCTGCTATCGTCATTTGAACACTGACATAGAAATATCATTTGGTACGAGTACACCAGGGCACTTATTTCTTCAAGGACATAAATAAACGATTTTGTAAATTTTAGAAGGCTTCCAAAGTTTAATTAATTAATTTGTTATTTTTTTTTCCATTTTATTTGCTCTCGGGTCATTATCCTGGAAACAGGTTGTGTAAACGAAATGAAGCTCGCTTTTCCTTTTCCTCATCTTCTACTCAAGTTTCTACTATGTCCTCTGTGGGGTCGTCGCGTCCCTTTGGGGGGCGGTACATGTGACTCCCTGCCTATTGAGGCAGGGGTAATGCACTGCGAGATGGTGTGTAGCAAGCTTGAAGTTCTGAGATGGGACGACTTCTTTCTTCTCTTCCCTCTTCACTCTTCTTTCTTCATCTGGGGCGGCTGCTTCTCTCCTCCACTTTTTTCCTATATAATTCATCTGTATTTGTCATGTCCTCACAAGGAGGAGGGGGAGAGGAGAGGGAGATGTTTCTTTCATTAATACATCTTGTTCATTTTTATATTCTATTCATGGGCTTCTAGGAAATCTAAGCCATAGCACTTAAAAATATTAAGCTTCATGTTGTCGTTTTAGTTATACGATTTCTTTTCCTAAAGTTGGACTACAACATTTTACGAGGAAACTTTCGCACTCATTTATGGAGCTTCAAACTATTTTCCAGTCAAAAAAAAAAGCTCGTGAAACTTGTTCGTAATATTGTAATATTAATGTTGGAAATTTTAATGATTTAGCTTTTTACGACTTAGTTTTACAAGGTGATAAAGTTTTGAGGGTTTACACTCTTTTGTCGCGGAAGTTTGTTCACGTAGTCCAGTGGCATCGAACCCCACGCTTCGAGGTTCGAGACACCTTGCTCACAATCGTGCTTTTTAAACGAGCTCTAAATACTGGTGGTAGGACCTCTTGTGATTCCGCACTGGTAGGTACCACCACCCTGCCTATTTCAGCAGAGAAGCAGTAATGCGTTTCGGTTTGAAGGGTAGGGCAGCCGTTGTACTATACTGAGACCTTAGAACTCATAGTCCAAAGTAGGTGGCGTCGCTTACATTGTAGATGTCTATGGGCTCCGGCAACCACATAGCACCAGGTGGGCTATGAGCTTGTCCAATAAAATAGCAATAAATTAAAAAAAAAAAACCATTAGAACAAGTGTCTTGTAAAGCTGAAAATTTTTTAATGCAGCGGTAACAATCACGGAATAAAAAATCTGGCACAAGCCCGAATCGTCCGAACGACATTTACATGATTAGCTTGTACATACTAGTGTTTCTTCGGACAAAAGAGAGTAACACCGCTCGGAGGAACATAATATTACCCCTCATTTCGGGGAAGGGTGATTGGAGAGATGTGCTCTGCACTAAACGCTTCACTCTCCCCCCTTTGCCTTTTCATGAGTCATGTCTCATGCGAGGCTCGGGCGTTGGTTATTGAGCGACAGGAGGTTTTAGTCGGTTCGACTCCGACATATCCCGCCCGCCATCCCCAGTGGAGAGTGGGAGTTCAGAGATTTCCTCCTGACCAAAAAAAACCCCTCGTTTCGTCACTACACATACAATAAATGTAGCAAAAGCAGCGCACACCGTAACTTGAGATTCTCTTCTGTGTTTTTATATCGAATGTACACTTTTTTGGTGAATTGGGCCATACGGAATCATTGTCATTCAGGTTTTAAAGAAAATACTAAATTAATAATCCTCATACAACTCACTGGATGATATCAAAGTCTCAACTGTATTGCGTTGATAACGGCTTCCCCAGCCTTCACATATGAACTCAGGACTGCTTCGTGACCGTAACAGACACGTATATGAACCTGTAGCGGCTTATAATCGGTCCTGAGTCCAGTAATTACGCTTTAGCGGGTTCAATTTTAGGTGGAGGCTGTACCCCCCTACTATCGACGTCCATTAGCAAGGGTAACCACTCACCATCAAGAGTGCTCATGCTCATCTCGTAAAAACATATTACATGAAATCCAACTACGTATTTCTAGTTATTTTACACAAACTAACTCATGTCATGTGATAGCCTTAAGGAGCCAGTTCAGTAGCTAGAACAGTTGAATATTTAGAATACGAATTACAAGTGATGCTTTGAATGTGCTTACAGCATTAAGCTCCAGGCCATGTGGAAGCGATGAGGTGCCTTTCCTTTGGAATACTAGATGCGGTTGTCTCCGCCAGTTATTTAGAATGTAAATTTGAATAATCAAAGCACAAAATACTGTTACAGTCAGCAACTTTGTGACTAACAAAACCACCTTGTGTTCGAAATACACAGAGCTATATGCACATACATATCACAACAATTTCTAATAATTTAAAATCTAACAGCATTTAATTATTTAATTAAACATAAAATGATAACAACATAGGTAAGAAAGCTATAAATTAACTTATATTAAACCATATTCTCGGCATTCGGGTTATCTCTCATCTTAACAGCTTGTTTTTCGACAGAGACATACATACTTAGGCATATTTTGTTCTGTGTACGTGCAACATAACCTTTTTACGTTACATTTATCTGACGAGCCCTGAGATTTTTACCGATTTCACTGCTGAGCCAGTTAGAACGAGACAGCGGTCTCACTCAGCAGTGAATGTGATTTTTTTTTCCTACCTATTCTGGTAACCTCGTGGGGCTATTCTAGATTTACCGAGTTAGTACGTGAGCTCACGGGGCTCAAACATGACGATCTAGCTAACACGAACCCTAGTAAGAGCAGTGCTTCGCAGAATCTACCACCGGATCGGAAACGCGACCCACTGAGAAGATCCGGCGAGAAACTCAGTGGGCTGTGTCTGTGGGTTAATTTACTCGCCGAGCCCTGTAATATTACCAACCAAGGTAAAGGCTTGAGCATTCTTTATTGACCTACGAAATTGATACCAAAAGAAAAGAAATAAAATTCATTAAATTTAGAGACGAAGACAATACTTTATGTTAATGCATACAAATTGGAAATGTTTTTATCTGTCGGACGTCGGTCAAGGACCTGGTAATGAAAACAAATTACTAACTTATGATGTCATCACTCTGTTTGCATAGTGATATCGCGTAGAGTTACTGAAATACTGGATCTTGGGTTCAAAAGAATCATGTGTTATTGAAAATCTTACTGGTGGTAGGACCTCTTGTGAGTCCACACGGTTAGGTAACACGACCCTGCCTATTTTTGCCGTGTAGCAGTAATGCGTTTCGGTTTGAAGGAGGGGGCAGCCGTTGTACTGAATTACCAACAACAACTGACCAGTGTAGTAACTCTATCAAACAAAAATCGATCTTTGAATCGACTTTGTTCGCGTTAATTTTAGTTCCATATTGTTTTTTTTTTTTTTTCCTGTATTAGCTGGTAGCCTTGAGAGGCTATTCCAGCGTAACCGTGACTAGTAGGTGAGCTCACGGGGCTCAAACTTGACGACGTTGCTAACACGAACCCTAGCAAGAGCCGTGCTTCGCAGAATCTACCACCGGATCGGAAACGCGACCCACTGAGAAGATCCGGCGAGAAACTCAGTGGGCTGCGTCTGAGAGTTGCATCTTGTATTAATCTATGTAACAAAATCATAGCTGGATTCAGAGAACTTAAAACGCCATCTATCGAAGACTACTGTAAGTGTGTGTTTATTAGCTTTAAACTTTATATTTATATTCAAAGAAATTTGGAAACAAAACAAAAAAAGATCGAATTCTCTCAGTAGTTTTTGCGTGGACATCGGCAGACGTTTTTTTTGTTTACACCGATTTAAACCACCGTTTTCCTTATTTGGATTTAATTCGAATTCTTCAAAATAGTCCTTTTTCTAGTGAGCTTAAGATTCCTCCTTCACGTCTTCAGGTTAGTCGACATCCAGACGAATGTATATTTAAAAAGAACTAGTGGTCCATCGGTAGTTGAAATACGACTATAATGAATTGAAATTATAAGTTTATACACTATCATGATTCTATTGTACAGATTTCCAAGACTACTCTTTAAACAAATATAAAGAAATTGAAACTATTTCCAATTTGACCATAGACTTTAAGCAATATGAAAAGTTTGCCAGTAAACAAATAGTATGCATGCGTGTGTGTGTCAAATACATGGTAGTGTGTGTGTAATGTTGTTTTTTATTGATTTAATGTATAATTTTAAAAAAAATAACATTCTGCGCTCCTTCTCTATATTCTCTATAAGTGTGGGCAATTTCATACTCCTCCGTCCGCGCAATTTTCGTTAAAAGGGATACAAAGTTTTTGCTTCACGTATTATTATATAGATAACTAGATGTACCCGTCCGCTTCGCTGGGCATTTAAAATTAACATTATTATTTCTCACCCCCACAAAGATACTCATCATTAACGCCTCCACAACTGGTGTAGGAAGTCCAACACTCATATAAATATTAGCTTATCCATTAAGTACATATATTTTCTACATGGATACCAAGTTTCAAGTCAATCGGATGCACGGTTCAGTAGTTATAACGGAACATCCGTAAAAAACACTGTACATTTATATATTAGTAACTAGCTGACCCGGCAGACTTCTTAGTGCCTCAATCGATAAATAAAATACCTAAACTTTTGTTTAAAATAAACTTAAAACAAACAAAAGGAATCCGTCCGACGCGACGGGGGGGACATCAAAGGGAAAACAAAATTGTTATTTTTATTTAATTCCGAGCATTTTCATATTTATTTACCTTTTAAACCTTCTCCGAACTTCCACTAATAATTCAAGACCAAAATTAGTCATATCCGTTCTCGAGTTTTAGCGAGACTAACGAACAGCAATTCATTTTTATATATATAGATAGATAGGTAGATTACAAAGTAGCTTACCACTTTAAACACGAAAACCCGATAAAGTTCTCTACACTTTAGTTCGTTCTCAGACGAGCGTGCGCTGCGCCGGCGCAATCCGACTGTACACAGCATCCCCTGAGGATACTGACCTCAGACCCTTGCCTTAGAAACGTATAGAGATGTTCACAGCTACCGCAGAACCCAAGAAACCTGTTTTTATTAATTAGTAACCGCTAAGTCTTTTAAATTCCGGCTTTTCCAAATGACAACAACTACATATTATTATTATGTTTACTAAGTGTCGCATCGTGAATAGTACTGACATTGCATACGCATTTCATTATTACTTCAGAAATGTTTCTACTTGACGTATTATTCCTAAAGCTTGTTTTTTTATTTATTTTTTATTGCTTAGATGGATGGACGAGCTCACAGCCCACCTGATGTTAAGTGGTTACTGTAGCCCATAGACATCTACAACGTAAATGCGCCACCCACCTCGAGATACAAGTTCTAAGGTCTCACTATAGTTACAACGAATACCCCACCCTTCGAACCGAAACGCATTACTGCTTCACGGCGGAAATAGGCGGGGCGGTGGTACCTACCCGTGCGGACTCCCAAGAGGTCCTACCACCAGTGATTGGTAATATTAGATTGATGTTTTAGATGATTTTTTATGTTATCATGTGTCATTTAATGAAACAATTATTTACAATTGATCGAGCTGTGGTTAAAATTGTGATTGCCATTGCGATTGCACAGGTTTATTAAATTTAAAAAAAATATACCGTCGAATTGAGAACCTCCCCCTTTTTGAAGTCGGTTAAAAAGAAAACTTATGCACGAAAAAATGCGTATGTATAATATTTTATACGATTTTGCAAATTCGGGCATAAAATTAGATCGGTTTGCTCTCTGAAAAGACGACATTCTCCTCCCAAACCGAGTCAATAACCGCACTGACAAAAAAAGTCTTACTGGTTATTTATCATATACATATATTTTCTAAGAAGGAAACTTAATTAAACCACATAGACAAGACCGGTCGATTTTGTAAATTTATTTATTTGTAGCTTATCCTATATAACTAGTTACAAAATAGGTATGCACTTATATTGAGATACAGAATGACGACTTATTTTTAATTAATAAATAAAAGAAAATACACCGCCAAGTAATAAACCCGACCATCTTTCTTAAATTTGTTAAAAATAAAAACATTTTTATAATGAATAATAATTTTAAGAGTACGATCCTTCCACTAATAAAGAAATTTTGCACGCATTTTTAAATTTCCAATGTAATTCAATATTAGTATGTACATATATCTCCAACTCTATAAGCATCCAAAATACAAGTTCAATGACCAGAATCAGGTTCCACGTTGGCAGGTAAATCTTCGAATTTAAAGGTGACATTGTAATGCTATTGTCGTCCTTAACGCAATATAGATAAAGAACGTTTTTGGAACACACATAATTTTAGAAGGCAAAATTTTTCATCAAATTGAATAAAGCACACGGCTTAGTGATTTGCCAATTACGACAGCCGAATGTGATCTGTTTTGTTTTTTAAAAATTAGACGGGTCATTTTGTGATCATCTCTGAATCACAGCATTAGAAATAAGGCCAAGGAGTTACTAGTATTTGTCTATACTATTTATTACTACTATATTACTAGGAGTATATTATGTATACGATTTAGGCAAATTAATGTTAATTTTCATTACGTTTCACTTGCACAAAGTTTAGTGCTGCGCTTATTTTTATATATTTTGCATAAATTGCTAAAGGATTTTTGAATAAGAGGACAATATATAAAATTTAAAAAAAAATATTTTTTAACTTAATAAAAAATTTAAAAATCAATGCTAAATTCACAGCAATACAATTTTAAATGGTTATTTCTAAATATTATTAACTTATTAAAAACGTTATCACGTCGATACCTAATACCTATTAATCAAACTGCGCAATAGTCGGTATTCCGACGCTTCGCACTTTACACGTACTAATACAGAGTCGATCTATAGACGGTTCGCGCTTAAAGCCTTAATATCAGACGTTTAAAATTATGTTCAAAGTGCGTAATGCTTATAACAAACATCAGGTATATGGTGACCACCTTTCTTGCAATGCAATTAGGTACGCAGTAGGCAGCGTCTTGGCTCTGCCCCTGGCATTGCTGAAGTCCATGGGCGACGGTAACCACTCACCATCAAGTGGGCCGTATGCTCGTCTGCCTACAAGGGCAATAAAAAATAATATTATTAATAATAATAATTAGATAGCCCATGTGAGTGAAAAAAAGGCTAAAAGTGACCCCTCGTTAATTGAATATCTAGCCAATCATCCAATCTCAATACTGTGACTTAATCACCGAGTACCTACTGATCGGCTAAGCGTCTACGTAAAAATAAATCGTCATTTCATTTCAACAAAGTTCATTAACCCGACAGTAAAAGTGTGATTTTCTGAGTGTCACCCGTACCGTACGGTTTGTTTTGCAAGAGATTTCGTATTCCGGACATGTTTCAAACTTATCATCACGACTCTATACCAATCGCGAGTGAGCAGAGATCCAGATTTACATTTTAAAGATTTTTTTTTATTGCATGAAATGAGTATTAAGGGACTCATAGATATAACGTTCATGTAGCAAGTTTGTCCATACCGTTCAAATTTTAACAAATCATTGCTGTCTACTCCCTGAATCCTGATCACGCAGGAGCTAGTCACCGTCGTCGACCTAGACACGTCCTTACCGATCCATCAGATCCAATAACCCTTGCATTAGATACCTTTAGCGTTAACACTAGGAGTAGGGTACCCGATAACCGTACTCGTCGAGCTCGGCAAAGAGTTCGACGTGCAACCCAACCTAAACATCAGCTCGCTGAGTTTCTCGCCGGATCTTCTCAGCGGGTCGCGATTCTGATCCGGCAGTAGATTCATTCGCAAAGCAGCTACTCTTGAGTTGTTAGGTTTCCTTTGGAGGCGCTCGGGTGGCCGTTATCAAATCCCACCCCTTCTTGCTGAATTCCTGCTCGCCCCTTAGTTGTGATGAAACTGGAAAGGACTCCGGCCTATAAGAAATTCTTCAATAATAAAAAAATTTGCAAGAAGGTGGTATCCACCCGTATGGGCTCACAAAACTAGCACACGTAAATTTTATAGGCAGTCTGCTGTTACGACACTTATCTTGTGAATTCCTAAGTCTTCATATACAAAATTCATGGGAAAAGATTTCGTGGTGCTACTTGAAGCCACCCAAGTTCCAGTTATCCAAGGTCTCATTCATACACAGAACAGCTCAAATTGTATTTTATTTGCGAATAATCGGTATAAAATAAGAATTCCTTTATTTATTATCCACTCATTTTATTTTCAACAACGATAATATTCTAGAACCCGCGTCACCACTAATCCAACAGATATATCACGAGAATCGAGAGAATTCAAACCAAGTCCGTAAACATTTTATGCTTCACATAAAAATTCGATACAGACCCCAATAAGACTATATAGAGCTGTGTACAACATTTAGGTATTACCTTTGCAAGAGACGTGATTTGGCTAACAGAACATTTGGATTTATTTAGCAGTCTCACTCAATCCAGATGACATATACTACCTCCTAATTCATTAGGCTTAAACGAGCCATCAAAGCACAGAAGGAAAATAGAATAACTGGCTGAATTAATATATTTAAACGGTGTGTAGCGTTAGATCTATTCTGAGCGAGTATGCCGGTGGCGCAGTGAGTGTGAGGCGCCGGCTACGTTAACTAATAACCTGTTTACAGATATTTACTCGGTTGCATTATGTGTGTGTGTTAGTGCGAGTTTTTTAACGTTCTCGATAGCGTAAAAGTTAAATCAAATTTGTATAGAGTTTATTTATTTATTTATGGTTTGGAAATAGAAGGATTTGATTCGAGCCCTGCCTGCAGTTCAGCATTATTTTTTTTTGCTCAGGAGGAATTTGCCAGACTTCCGCCCTCCACTGGGGATGGAGGGCGGGGCATGTCAGAGTCGAACTGACTAAAATCTCCTGTCGCTCAACAACCAACGTCCAAACCTCGCATGAGACTGAGACAGAATTCATGAAGAGGCAGAGGGAGGAATGTGAAGCGCTTAGTGCGGAGCATATTTCTCCCATCACCCTCCCCCTCGGGACGCCGGACCGGCGGTCGTCGGCGCCACGACCACCAGCCCTCTCGGTCGGCAGGCTATCCGAAGCCCACCTAGATGGCGCCGGTTAGAGTGAGCTATCCTACGGAATACCCCGCTGACACCCCAGCATAGGGTAATAGGAAAGAATGATGATGATGATGATTTATTTATTAAGTTGCACCAACAAAGTGATCATCAATACAAAACATTGAAAAACAGACATAAGTTCATGGCAGATGTCACCTCAATTATAGGTGCAATCAACAATGCATTAATAACAAAAATAAAAAAATTATATAACTAAGATTTGATTAGGTACATTTCATTGATTGCTTAAGATTAATATAAATTTAATTGGGAAACGATCCGCGACGAGTTGGAACGTTTGCCTACGTTTGACTCCATAAAAAATTGAGTTAACTTTTACGCTATCGAGATCGTTAAAAAACTCACACTAAGCACACTGACTTCATATTGGTTTACCGCTTGGTAGGTATGCTTCGAGTGCTCCCATTTTACATGCTACCAAGTTTCGTAACCGTAAATATCTCTAATCGGTGTCCTTTACCAGATATCGTCTTCTCGCATTAAAACTGTATTATCTCAAAACTTACTAATTTTACAGGAGAGTTTTTTAAATGTGATATTTTTAATATTAATCATCTTTGCAACATTTATTTTTTATTTTTTACCAGTTACATCATCTGTCTTTTAAAGTAAGATAAAATTATGTATTCATTTTGTTAATAGAAAACATAGGTAAACAAAAAAAAATCCTAAAACTAAACTACGTTCTTTTGGCAGTATTTATAAGAAAAATACTGGTGATACCAAATGATTCCGCATATTAACTCAATTTCGAATATTTTTGGAAATTGTACACTTTTAATGCGAAAAGACGATATATTGTTACATTATTTACTATCAATGCTAGTCTTCTTTGATAAATAAGTG